AACCATAATGATTCTATGATTCTAAGTCCCTTATTTTCCTTGAGACTCTATCTTCATTTCTCTGCCTGTCAGGACTGCCAGGTATCTGATCATTCAGCCACAGGGTAGGCCACTAGCTCTCAGCAAGTATCAGTTTCCCTAAAAATGAAACTGAAGCCTGAGATGGTGTCCCTCCAGCCCTCAGCATCCCATAACCAAGCTGTCAGTGGGGTTACTTATTTCTGACAAATACAGGCATATGAACTAGACCCCCCTGGCCTGGGGGCAGTTTATTCCCTTATTTTTCTACAGCTTTTATCAAAAGTCAGAGACTGTTGTCTTTCCTTGGTCTGCTTAGGCTAATTAGTCCTAATTATTTTAGCATTTTCCTTTCAGGTCATCATTTCCAGACAATATTTTGCTGCTGTATTTTGAATGTTTTACTTCACCTGCATCTTTCAAGTACTATTTCTCACAGCACTTGTGAATACAGCTGGGTCTGCAAAGACCTGTTACGCTGTCACAGAAGGAATTACTTTGGTCTGCCATGACTTAGACTTGACAAACTCCCGCTGTCTTTTTCGAGACTTTTTGTTGTCTTCTAGCGACCCACAAATAGCGTGTCCTATAAAATCAGTTTTATAGTAGAGAGTACAACAGACTGTCATGCAAAGGACATTTAAAATAGCTTTTTGTGTATGAATGTAACAGCACCACACACAAGAAACAGATATGACATACAGTATTAGGCTAAACCTGATTTCTCTTGCCATTGAGACTACAGAGTTGTTTTCATATTAATTTCAGCTATGAATTCCCCATTGCTTACATCCAGTTTAAGAGCAAATGAGTAGATTAAAAAATTATTGCTGTGACAATTTGGAAGTATTCGTTTATATGAATCTTATGGATTTGTTTGGTCTATTTTGAACTATAAAGTCTGTTTTTGAAAAAGGTGCCTGTTCTTTTTCTGAGTCTACCTTGGATATAAAGGCTAACAGACCTCTAAGCAAATCATAAAACCTGGTGGTTTTCTTGGTTCATGTGGAGCCACCCAAAGAGTTAGCTTCTATCCAGAAGCAGCTTTCTACAGAGATTTTTTATGGCTTTATCTAGATCTGTATATTGCTAGTACCGTTGAAAGCATAAAAATTATTTTATAGCCTGCATTGCAAAACTAATGTCTTCAGTTATCACCTCTCCCTTAAGACAGAAATTATAAAAAAAGTTTCTAATAGAGTAAAAATCTGCCTTTGGCAGTTTAGCGTTACTCCACTTTCTTTGTCATCTGGCCCATGAATCTCATGAAGGAATAGTACACAAAATCTGTGCCTGAGCCCTCTAACCAAGGGCGAATGCTGGAGCCTTTGCATGCCTGGGAAGCCGAAGCACACAAAACTGATGTAGTGAGAGTGATTACAGTGCCTAGCATTCATAAGAATGGAAAATATTAAAGTACTAACATAAAGAAAATTTAGTGTAGAACAGTAAAACACCAACATAAAGAAAATTTAATGTAAGCTGAGAATTCTTTCTTTGCCAATGACTTGGGCAATAATATCTACCTGCCATAGGAGACTGTTTAATTTGTTAAGTTTTTGATTCTCAGAACATTTGACAAAGAGTGTAAAACTCATGATCCATATTTTATGTGCAAGAAGAGAGTAAGACCAGTTCAGTGAGAAAATGGCTTTGGTGACAAGGTGAACATAAAAAGTGTCCTACTCTCTGCAGTACTCGACATTTCTTGCAGCCACCACACCCAGCCCAAAATTCCTGCCCTTAGACCAGTCCTTGTACTTAAGGCTACAAACACGATGATAATCTTGACGTGATGGAATAGTTCTTAAAGCTGATGGTTGTGAAATACTACAGTGAATCCTAGTCCTGAGCTTTAGCTGCTAGACAGCACTGTCTCACTACTGTAGGGGGAAAATGGTGTGGTTCTGCATTAAATAATATTGAAGAAAACATACCAAAACCATGTAAGGTATGTAAAAAATATAGACTGAACATAATTCCACTGTTTTTTTCAAAGCTAAAAGTACCCAATTATTAGGAACAGTTTATTTAATGACAATCCCAGGAGGCCTTTAAGTCTAATAAGAATAAAGTACTACCACATTTGGAGAAGAAAAAAGGTCCATTGAGGTAGAGGTCAACTATTTTCATATTGATGTATTAACATTCTTTTGCCTAGCCAAAGCTATACTGTTTATACAGTGAGCTCACATTGGAGCAATCAGCTGTTTTGCACTGCTAG